CTGAGGCCGCGGGTTCAAGACCAGCCCGGGCAACTTGGCAGGACCTCATCTCTACAATAAATCAGCTACTTGTAGCTCCAACTACTTGGAAAGCTGAGGCAGAAGGATCACCGGAGCCCAGGCTGGGTGGGGTAGCTGTGAGCGTACCATTGCACTCCACCCTGGGCGATGGGCTGAGACTCCAACTCAAATGAAAAAGAAAAATAGGTATGTGTAATGGTGTAGTCTATCACGTGGTTCATTAATTTCTTCCTTCACATTAAAAAAGAATTCATTGAAATGATAAACCAGGTACCTCCCAACATTTAAATTTTTTTGTCCTGGTTCTTCTCAAATCATTCTGCTGTTAGAGCTCAGATCTTAACTCTGCTTACATGCCTCCTATTTCAAAGGCGATGGATACGTGTAGGAAAAATTCACCTGGGCTGATGGAATTTTTAATGTGTTCATTTTTAACTTGAAGCTGGATTTTGGGGTTGGAAATATTCTGCTTAAATAAAATAAGCAAAAATTTTAAACCTGGAGTGTGCTAGATTTTCAACAATGAAAAATATTTCACATTAATAATGGCAGTAGGCCGGGTGTGGTGGCTCAAGCCTGTCATCCCAGCACTTTGGGAGGCCGAGGCGAGAGGATTGTCTGAGCCTGCAGTTTTGAGACCAGCCCGGGTAACTTGGCGAGACTTCGTCTCTACAATAAATAAAAAAATTAGCCAGACGTGGTAGCACGCACCTTTAGTTCCAGCTACTTGAAAGACTGAGGCAGGAGGATCACTGGAGCCCAGCAGGTCGAGGCTGCGGTGGCCATGAGCGTGCCACTGTACTCCAGCCTGGGCAACAGAGTGAGACTCCAGCTCAAAAAAAAGAATTAATTAATTAATTTTAAAAAATAATGACAGTAGTTAGACATGACTTTAGGTTAGTAGAATACATCTTAGGGATGTCATTTCTACTGGCTTATTAAGAGAATGAAGATACTTGCATCTTTAGTTACCAGCCAAGATTACTTGCAGTTTTTCAATTAAAAACATAAAAGACCATTTCTCTTTTATGCACTTGGCACAATTGCGTATTACCATGCTGGATGTGTGCATGTTTCGGTGCTTTTTTAAAAAAAATAAAAGACATTTTTGGTGGTGACTGACGGCATTACACTTTTCTTTAAACTTTGTTTATTTACTTATTTTTTTAAAGCAGGATTTATTGAGAGGACAGAAAAGCTCCCACAGTGGGAGGGGAGTTGCCCTAAACTTTAAAATGAAGGAACATCTCACACCATTTTCTAAAGAATATTTTAGTATTATTCGTCTCAGCCAAATCAGGAAATGGAGTCCCAAAGAGTTTAACTAACTACCGCAAACCATTGGGTCACGGCATGTGCAGTTCTCTAGGATTCTTATTCTAAACATTAGATGGCGTTCCTAGGTGATATCTCTGCACCTGTTGTAGAATTAAAATGTAGACAACCTAGAAGCAGAGTGATTTTAAAAGTTGATACCCAAAGATTCAGTAGTTGCAGACCCTCCCAAAAAACCACTGCAACTACATTCAATTCCAATTGAAGTCCATGGCTTGAAACAGTTTCAGTTTATACTGTATTTTTCTAGATTTTTTTTTTTTTTTTTTAGTTGGTGTCTCATTCCGTCGCCTAGGCTGTATTGCAGTGGCACGCTCATGGCTGCGGTAGCCTCCACTTGCTGGGCTCAGGTGATCCTTCCGCCTCAGCCTTCCAAGTAGCTGGAACAACAGGCATGCACTACCACACCCAGCTATTTATTTTTTTAATTTTTTTTTGTAGAGATGAGGTCTCACCAAGTTGCCTGGGCTGATCTCAAACCCGCAGGCTCAGGCAATCCACTCTCCTCGGCCTCCCAAAGTCTTAGGATGACAGGCTGAGCCACCGAGCCTGATCTTTTCTAGATTTTCAAATGAGCAGAATAGTTTGCCATCACAGAATCTCTTCATATTAAATCATGGAAACGTAAACTCCACAAGGACAAAGCATTGTGTTCGTTCTGTTCACGGAAGCACACCTGTGCTTAAACAGTGTCTGACATATAGTGAACATTCAATAAACACTTCCTAAACGGATGAGCTCTTGTATTTTGACTCAAATTTGTATTTAGTCTTTTTTATTTTTATTTTTTAAGTGACTGCGTCTCCCTCTGTTGCCCAGACTGGAGTGCAGTGGTATGGTAATAGCTTACTGTAGACTTGAACTCCTGGGCTCCAGCAATCCTCTCATCTCAGCCTCCCGAGTAGCTGGGACTACAGGTGTGCGTCACCACACCTGGCTAATCTGTTTATCTTTTGAAGAGATGAGGTCTTGCTGTGTTACTCAGGTTGGTCTTGCACTCCTGGCTCGCCTCAGCCTCCCAAAGCACTGGGAGTGCAGGTGTGAGTCACTGCGCTGGCCTGTGTTTAATCATTTAAAGGGGGTGGTTAACCTTGAAAACCCTGATGAAAGTTACCTGTGCCCTGTGTCCTCGGGAGCTTCCTGTTAGATTGTGCATCCTGGCTTTTCTCCCCTGGGTCATTCTCCCCTGTATAATTCTAGCATCACCACAGGCCAGTGGCCTCTGTGAGCACGCCTCTACTTTCATTAACTTAGAGGTCACGTTAGCAAACCACACCCTGTTATGTGAGCACCCCAAACCCTCAGGAAGCGCCCCCGAACAGCAGCCAACCGGAGCATGTGAACACGTGTGTAGTCATAGCTGAGCATCTGAGGCCATGGAGGCACTAACGATTGTTCTTCACTGAAATTTCCAGATACCCCTAAGATGTGTTTTGATATTTCACATCCAAGATACGTTTTGAAATTTGGCAGTACTGACAAGCACATGGGAAGATGGGTTTACTCACAAGCGTCTTCGGGCCACGATTCTAGAAGCTAAAATAAAATGGAAGCACCTTTTTAAAAAAGAATCAGATGGGTTGCGAAGAGGAGGCAGAATAAGGTGCAGGAAAAACATACACCTGGGAGACAGTAAGGTCTGGATGATGACATGTGGTGAGGAAGATTCCCAAAGCTCCATCTTCAAGCATTCTTTCAGGTCCTTCCTTCTTTTTATGTTTCAAGGAATTATTGGCCCACCTCTCTGTGTCAAAGTTTCCTAAGAGGGTAAATAAAGTTGCATAATGGAATAAAGTATAAGTGCACTTGGAATAATTTTTAAAATTAGAATTAAAATTTAAAAATTAAATTAAAATAATAAAAAAATTATTTGTCAATGCCTTTGCTTTCTTCTGAAATTAGAAATTTCATGATTTTTTTTTTTTTTTTTTTTGTAGACTGGCTTTTTTATATATAGAATCTCATTAAGCCAAGGTTTTCCATGGGGAATTTCACTTTGGAACTTTAGACACAATTTGAGTTTTCCTTCTCTTTTTGTTTCCGTTAAAATATCTGCACGTCCTTTCATTATATAATTGATTCTTTTCAATGCTCAAGTCTCAAGTTTCAAGGAAACTGGAAGTCCGTGTTATTTTGAGAATGGCACAGCTGTGAACGCTGACCATGCCAAAGCCTGGAGAGGAGTTTTTGGTTGCCAAGCATGTTAAGAAGATTGTGTGACCAGCATGTACGCAATGCCTTATGGAAAAGACCAGACCAATTTCCAGCTCGTTTCTTCTTATAAACCTAGGAAAGTTAAGAACACTCTTTATGGCTGGGCACGGTGGCTCACGCCCATCATCCCAGCACATTGGGAGGCTGAGATGGATGGAGTTCAAGACCAGCTTGGGCAACAGCGCAAAACCTCATCTCTACAGAAAATTAAAAAAACTAGCTGGATGTGGTGGTGGGCACCTGTAGTCCCAGATACTCAGGAGGCTGAGGTAGGAGGGTCGCCTGAGCCCAGGAAGTGAAGGCTGAGGTGAGTCATGATTGTGTCACTGCACTCCAGCCTGGGTGGCAGTGTAAGATCCCACCGCCATAAAAAGAACAAGAGAAAGGTTTATCTTGACTTGGTATGATTTGCCCAAGCTTGGCATTTACCATAACCCGCCCTACAGAATATAAATAAAGCAAAATTTCACATGTACACACAAGAGTAATATTTCTTTCCATTCTTAAGGCAGACCTGGAGTCCAGTGGGACAGCTAGCCCCGTCTTCCCCAGTGGACGTGTCATCATAATCCTGACTTACATCATTAGCTTCTCAGGCAGTTGTCACTGACGTGCCCAGTTCTGCCCAATGACCAGTGAGCATGCCATAGTGGGTGCCTCTGTACTGTACTGCCTGAGTCCCCATCTCTGCCTTGTGGCTCTGTTGTCTGCACTTCCCCAAGGCAGGCAATCATTAGACTCAAGGAAGAAGTGGCTTCTCTTGAGGAGTCTAGACCATTGGGCACAATCCTACCACGAGATTATTTCATCACACCAAACCCCCTTCTCTGTCTCCCAGGATAGGGACTCATCTTCAGATTAACACACAGCCTGGGAAAATGTAAACTTCATTCACTCCATCCAGGAGACCAGGGTCTAGTCTGAGTTGTAAGATATTTTCAAAGAAGAGATGTTGTCACTTTCACAAACACGGGGTAAACGTGAGCCAGTGGGGTCTTGCTCAAGGGCTTTATGTAATGGATTTTGACTTGTGGGTTTCCAGCCATTTGGGGATTCTGTGGATATAATATATAATAAGGTGCCCACAAAGTTTCTTCCCCTAATTAATCTCTTTAAGCTTCCTCCTGGCATCATTGATTTCTAGAGAAAACAATTTTTTGCAAGGACATGCAAGCCTGGTCTTCCCAATTCCCTATTACAGAGTGCAAGTGAATGAGGGTCATTCCTTCTTTCCCCTCCCAGCCCGATGCCCAAGTTCTGTGGCGAATGCCCAGGTAATCAAAACACGGTCCCCACTCCACGGAGTTGCGAGAAAGTCAACGAAATGTGAGCGTTCCTACCTTGTCCTTTGACGCTCTCCCCAGGGCTTCTGTGAAGCTGGAATCGACTAGACAGGCTGTTTCTCCATGCTTGTTCTCTTTTTCTTTTAGTTGTTCAAGTTGGTTTCCCATGTCTCGGAAAACAAGATGGAGTGGCAGCCTTTGAAGTGAATGTGATCGTCATGAACTCTGAAGGCAACGCCATCCTCCAGACGCCCCAGAACGCCATCTTCTTCAAAACATGCCAGCAAGGTGAGCCCGAGGGGCATGAGGACTAGGCTTGTGAGGCCGCCAGGGGTGATCCGCGCAAAACTCATCTACGTGGTTGTTTGGACAATTACCATATAACCACGCCAGCAGTAGGAGCGGGGAAGCACAGGGTTTAGTCACAGCCCCAAGATGGACTTGCTGTGCCTTCGGCCCCTCTTACAATTTTAGGAACTCCACACCCCTTCAAAACAACCTCACTTTTGCGTCCATCACCATCTCTGGGAGTCCCCAGGGGTGTCTCACCTGGGTCATGAATTTCCCCTCTTGGGTCATCTCTCCGCTTCTCCATCACTACTCAAACCCCCACCTGACGCCTGGTGCGGCTCACCTCCCCCTGGGGAACAGGGTGCCACCATCACCCCAGTGATCCCCAAGGCCTCAGCCCCGCCCCACCTGCTCACGGAGGCGTGAGTGCCCCACCTGCTCACGGAGGCGTGAGTGTCTGGCTCCCTTCCCATCCCTCACAAGCTTTTCCAGCCCAGAATCTAAGCTCTGGAGCCTTTCCGTGCTCTCGAGGCGTGTCAAAAAGCCATCCCACCCTCTGAAGGTAAATGCTGAAGGCACTGTCATTCATTCTCTCACAGTGTGAATTTCACAAGGTTGGATGGGTGGGTGAGGGTGCAGGCAGAACGAGGCCTGCTTTGTGGTTCCGCCACCCCCTCCTGCTAGAAGTAGGACCAGGACCAGCAGAGGCAGAATCTTGCCTGGAGAAAGACTCGGGCAATTTGAGTGCTATCGAATGGGGTGGAAGTATCAGTGTTCGATCAACCGCCGTAACGGGTGGGCTGGAATAGCGGCGACTGCCAGTGTCTCACCCTGGCTGTCACTCACCCAACATGACATCAGGGTGTCCACATAAGCCTTGTTTCTTTTTGGCGAAGCTGAGTGCCCAGGAGGGTGTCGGAACGGAGGCTTTTGCAACGAAAGGCGCGTCTGTGAGTGTCCCGATGGATTCTACGGCCCCCACTGCGAGAAAGGTAAGAGAGAACCATGCCCCTGGCTAGCTTCCCGGGAACTCGGACGCCACACAGGAGCCCCACTGGGATTGACATCTGAAATTATGTTTCTGGTCACATTGTAAGGATTGGTGAAACTTCAGAAAGCCACAGAGGAGGCGGGGCATGGTGGCTCACTCCTGTAACCCCAGTACTTTGGGAGATCGAGGTGGGTGGATTGCTTGAGGCCAGGAGTTCAAGACCAACCTGGGTGACATAGCTTCATCTCTAAAAAACAAGCAAACAACAACAACAACAAAAACCCACAAAAATTAGCTGGGCATGGTAGGGTGTACCTGTTGTTCCAGCTATTCAGGAGGCTGAAGCAGGAAGATTGCTTGAGCCCAGGAGTTGGAAGCTGCAGTGAGCTGTGATCATGCCACTACACTCTAGCCTGGGCAACAGAGCATGACCCTGTCTCAAGAAAAAAGGAAGAAAGAAAGAACAAGAAAAGGAAAGTAAAGGAAAAAAAAAAAAAGGCCACAGAAGAGCTATTGAAAAGTATTTCTTCTAGAAGTGGTTTCCTGTTAAATCCAATATGTGGATTTATACATGCTATACTTTGATATTATCTTATGAGAGTCTCGTAGATTTTTTTCCTTCCATTTAAGTTGAGTTGAAAAAGCTGGTGTCACTACTGATTTGAAATTATTCCAGTTAGAAGTAGCTTGATTCACAGTTAAGTTTGCACCTGAGTTATAAAGTTAATATGAGGCAAAAAAAAAAAAAAGGGATAAAAATCCTTTATATAGTAAGTACCTCTGTTTCAGGGCAAGTGCTTTCAAGAAAATTATATGAAAAAAGAAATAAGCAAGAAATTGGGGGTTAATCATAAAACAGTTTATTAAGCAGTATTTACCGAGAGCTTTTTTGAACAGAGTAAGCAAAACAGTTTCCTCTTCAAGAAATAAGAATATTTTGCTTTTCTTTTCTGCCTTAAACTTGGAATTAGAAGAGTAAGGAAGTAGGGCGGAGGGAATGTATTGACAGTTTTGAGAAGACCACGTTTTAGTTAAATGGATTCTGGGAAAAGTGGAATCAGGCATTCAGATGGAACAAACCCAGAGTTCTTCTCCAAGAAAGTGGCTGAGAAGTGAAATAATAGCCTGATTTATATGACAGAAATAAGTTGTAATATAGCCAACTTGTGTCTCCGAAGAGTAACCATTTCAGTCAACCACGAAGCCTGGAAACGCAGACTGTGGTATTCCTGATGTTTCCACGCGGTGCCTCTCTGAAGCCCTGTCTGGCCTTAATCAAGTTCTCTCTCCCTAAAGCCCTCTGCACGCCACACTGCATGAACGGCGGACTTTGTGTGACCCCTGGCTTCTGCATCTGCCCACCTGGATTCTACGGAGTCAATTGCGATAAAGGTAACAGTTTCTTTCTGAAACAAGGTTCTCTTAGCTTTTAAGATGTTTGATTAGGGTAGGTATCCTTGGCCAGGCACGGTGGCTCATGCCTGTAGTCCCAGCACTTTGGGAGACTGAGACAGGAGGATTGCTTGAGCCCAGGAGTTCAAGACCAGCTTGGACAACCTAGCGAGACTTGGTCTATACAAAAACAAAAAAAAATTAGCCAGCCGTGGTGGTGTGCACCTGTGGTCCCAGCTGCTCGGGAGGCTGAAGCAGAAGGAACGCCTGAGCATAGACGGTCAAGGCTGTGGTGAACTGTGATTGTGCCACTGCACTCCAACCTGGGTGACAGAGGCAACCCCAGCTCTAATAATAATATTAATAATAATTAATGTCATCATTCTTCATAACAGTTCTGTAAATAGGGTGTGTCACTTAGAGTAAAGATGGCTGCTAACAAAACCAAAATCCCCGTTTCAATGCAGTATATAAGTTTATTTCACCCACAGAATGCTCCCATGCAGGGGCGTCTGGTCCAGGCAGGACAGCTTTTCTCCATGCAGTGACTCAGGACCCAGGTGCCAGCCACTTGTGGTCCTGCCTGGAGCTTTGGAACTCTCTAGATCCAGCCAGGAGGCAGAGAAAGATTGGAGTCGGCTCTGCTTAAAAAAATAATAATAATAACTCATCAAAAGTTGTAAAAAAACTCTGGCCTAGAAGTGACCTACAAAACTTCCACGCCTGTCCCGTGGTCCATGGATAGGGATTAGCCTCGTGGTCTCACCTGGATGCAGGCCGAAGAAATGTTGTCCCTCCTGGATGCTGTGTCCCATTGACTCCTGTTATGGGAGTGTGGATTTTTGTGAACAGTTAGCCGTCTCTGCCACATAGCATGTTGGCACGTCCTAAATCAGCTTTGTGGGGGAGTTCTGAGGCTGAAATTTTGCAGCCTGCTCTGAGGGGCCCAGCCTAGACATTTACTGACTCCCATTCAGAACTCTGCGCCAAGCCACAGCCCCGAGATGCTTCCTAACATGCAGGGCCATAAGATGGGACTCTTGGCTGCAGATTCCAGCTGGCCCTAGATATTACTGAATGATTTGTGCTCTCTAGAAGACGCCTTTCTTGCACAGGATAAAACTTAGAGTGTCTTGCAAAGTATGTCTATTGAAGGCAATTATCTCTGTGTCAACAGTGCTAATTGTCTGGATAAGGCATTGTTCTTTGCTATTAAAGATGTGCCTTGAGATAGGGTGATCAATTTTGTTTTTGAGAAGTGGCGTTTTAGTGATGCTCAGTTGGTACCAAGCAAGAATGTAATGAGCATTTTTTTTTTTTTGAGTTGGAGTCTCACTCTGTCGCCCAGACTGGAGTGCAGTGGCCGCTCCCGGCCACCGCAGCCTCGACCTGCTGGGCTCCGGCGATCCTTCTGCCTTCCAAGTAGCCAGAACAACAGGCATGTGCTACCACGCCCAGCTCAGTTTTGATTGATTGTAAAGACAAAGTCTTTCCAAGTTGCCCAGGCTGGTCTCAAACCCACAGGCTCAGAAAATCCACTCGCCTCAGCCTCCCAAAGTGCTGGGATGACAGGCTGAGCCACCGAGCCCGGCACAATGAGCATTTAAAAAAAAAAAAAAGGAATGGAAAACTGAAGAAACTATGACCGTCTGCTATTTGAGGACTTACAGAGGACTTTCACACACTGGTGTGAGTTGACTCTTAGGGACCTTTTGAGATGGGTAGAGGACCATCCATTGCAAATGAGGTTTCTAGAACTTCAATGGCTCCATCCAGACTCCCTCCGTCCCCTGTACTGTGTTGCCCCCAGTGACCTGGTTCTGGCCTCGGCTCCTCCATGAGTGACTTGATGGGACGAACAACATGAGTTCCTGTGGGTCATACTTTTTCCGTCTCTAAACTTGGAACCAAGCCAGCGGCCCTCATGTCCCTCACCCCTGAGCTCTACGTGATAGATATAGTAAGACACTATGTGGAAGCTCACCTACTTTTTTGAAAAAGTGGTCTTTTGCACCCATAGCATTGGACTAAAAACTGATTCTTAGGCTGGGCACCTTGGCTCACGCCTGTAATCCCAACACTTTTGGGAAACTGAGGCAGGGAGATCCCTCGAGGCCAGGAGTTCCAGATCTGCCTGGACAACATAATGAGACCTCGTCTCTACAAAAAAATTTAAAAATTAGCCAAGCATGATGGTGTATACCTGTTGTCTCAGCTGTTCAGGAGACCGAGGCAGAAGGCTCACCTGAGCCCAGAAGGTCGAGGCTGTGGTGGCTGTGAGCATGCCACTGCACTCCAGCCTGGGCAACAGGGTGAGACCCCGACTCAAAAAAAAAAGTTCTTAGCATATTTGTTCATAAAACTTAAGCACGAATGACACTGACAATAATTAACAGCCAGTGAGTAAAATTCCTTATTGTGAATCTTCATTTTATTTGCCTAAATTCAGCACTTGGCATCTCTGCTGTTTCAAAATCGGGCATTTCTTGAAGCAGAATTAAACTCATATCATCTCAAAACTATTAAGAGATAAAGCAAGTCCTTCGGAGACTTGGATGGAAAACTCAGGCATTCGTGGGTCCGAAGAGGCCATTTGGGAGGCCTGTGTATGTGGACGTGTCCATCGTTGCTGTGGTTTGCACAGTGACACGTCCATTGCTGGGTTTCTCTAGGGCCCTGATGTCACACATACCCAGGGTCATGGTGAAGAAATGCAGCTATCTGTTTTCCGGTACATTTTATGTTTTATAATATTTGACCTTTCAGAAGAAAGATTTTCCTGCCTGCTAGACTCCAGAAGTTTTTTCTTTGTTCTTTTGGAAAGTCTGTGGAAATTCTACTCTGTCTCACTGGAACTCTTAGAACATTAAAAAATAATACTTTTTACTCCCTCAACAAAAAGATGCTTTTCTTATCCAAGAGGGAGTATGGGCTTCTGAAAAATGGTTTAATCACTGGCATGGAGCAAGACCTTACTTAGCACTGTGTATTTGGACAAATATTAAAGAATAACTTTCACTGGCTCTTGGGACATGGTTCACAAACTCTAGGAACTGAGTAGTTTGGCATTGGCTAGAATATCCCCCATCCTCAGTGAAAGATATTTCATGTCTCTGGCCTGTTTTTCCAGTCAAGAATCATTGCACAACAGAAATGCAGAGAAGCTTGATCTGGACAGCAAAATTGCATGCAAGTATTAACAGCGTGGCCAAATTGTACAACCGGCTTTGTCAAAGTCTGTAGGCTTCAATTAAGCTACCAGATTCTTTGCATTCTACACATCAGTACGGGACAGTGCCCACAAGGAACAGGCCAGTGGGTACCAATCCCAGCGTTTTCTCATCTCTTTTTGTCTCCAAAAGAAATAGGGGCGAGTGGGAGACAGGACACACTCACAAAAGCGACAGCCAACCCTAGCAATAACACTAGCAGAAAACAGAGGAGTCCCAGAGAGCTGGCTGTCCTCAGCCCTAAGTCCTACATTGAAATGCTACTGTTCCCTCCATGAAAACAGGCCTGATTTTTGCCAAAGCGAGCACCCACAGCCTTGCTGGGAGCTTTCAAACACAAAGTTTATCATTGATGCTGCATGCTATGGGCCGGGCATGGTGCCTCACGCCTGCAATCTCAGCACTTTGGGAGACCGACAGAGGATTGTTTGAACCCAGGAGTTCGAGACCAGCCTAGGCAACATACTGAGACCTCATCTCTAAAAAAGCAAATTAAAGAATTAGTCAGGTGTGGTGGCATGCACCTATAGTCCCAGCTACTCAGAAGTCTGAGGCAGGAGGGTTGCCTGAGCCCAGGAGGTCAAGGAGCCTTTATTGTGCTACTGCACATAAGCCTAGGTGACAGAGTGAGACCCCTGACTTAAGACAAGAAAAAAAAAGAAAAAGAAAAGGAAGCATGATATTCTTAGAACATTTTTCTGGGATTTTATTTTCCACAAGGAAAGCCTGTACTTCTAACTTTTGGGTTTCCTTCTTGAAGTTCCTACTGGAAACTCAGTCTGCTTTTGTTCATCTGTGGCCAACTCGGACCTGTTTTATGTGGGACTAGAATAAGTGGGTCATATTACTGGCATTGCTAAAACTCCAAGCTCTAATTCTAATTTCTTTGATACAGTGAGCCAATGCATCTATTTTTAGGTGTCTCCTCTCCCCATTTCTCTGTCCTGCCTCTATTTGAGGTGCCAATGAGCAGTGTAATTCCAGAGCAGGCCCCGAGAGGGTTTAGGAGAAATCACATACAGTACAAGCCCTACCTGGGTATTCCAGTTACTGGGCCCACAGGGTGACACAGCCAGCTCTGTCATCCCTGGCTCATTCTGTCACCACGTTCCTACCGTGGACCTCACAAGGGCCCACAATCTTTTGCTGAATACGACTCCTTTCTCCAAGCATCGTAAAGTTCTTTTATTGGTGGGGTGTGGTTGGCGTCTCACTGTCACCCAGGCTGGAGGGCAGTGGCACCATCATGGCTCACTGTAGCCCCGACCTCCTGGGCCCAGATGATCTTTCCACCTCAACCCCCTGAGAGAAGTTGGGACTACAGGGGTGTGCCACCACACCCAGCTAATTTTTTTCCTTTTTTTTTTCTAGCAATGAGGTCTCATTGTGTTGTCCAGGTTGGTTTCGAACTCCTGGGCTCCAGCAATCCTCCCACCTCGGCCTCCCAAAGTGCTGGGATGATAGGAGTGAGCCACCACCACGCCTGGCCTTAAAACTCTACTTTTTAAAAAAATGTTATTAGGTATGATGAGTCTCTGTTCATTTATTCTGGAAGCAAAAGTTCCTTTATCCTTTGGCGAGTCCTGATATTTATCACTTTTTTATCCCTTTTAGCTGTGGCAAAGCAAGTCTTCTTATTTTTCCTTTATTCTCTCACCTGAAGTTTGCAAAAGTATTTTCTGGGGTTTATAGCATTCTTCTCCTTTTTTTTTTTTGAGTCGGAGTCTCACTCTGTCACCCAGACTGCAGTGCAGCGGCCGCTCCCGGCAGCCCTTCCACCTCAGTCTTACAAGTAGCTGGAACTACAGATGCACGCTACCACACCCGGCTAATTTTTTTATTTATTGTAGAGATGAGGTCTCATCAAGTTGCCCAGACTAGTCTAGAACCCATGGGCTCAGGCAATCCATTCACCTCAGCCTCCCAAAGCGCGGGATTACAGGCAGAGCCACGGAGCCCAGCTGCATTCTTCTCCTTTTAAGGGCATAGGTATTTATAAAATGATTAAACAGAAAGTTTTTTGACACACCATGCCTTTCTTCACTAGGATGTCAACTCCTAGGGGCGAGCGGGAGCGGGTCATATGTGATGTCTGTGGTGTCTCCTTATGTTCTGGGATCTGCAAGGGTCAAGTAGTTGATTACAGTGTACGAGTGGGCAGTCTGCAGAGGCCTGAGGAATCGCTTCTCACTCCAGGTGCAGATCTGTGAGGCTTGACCCACTGTCTAACACAACACCTCGTTATTCGTTCTGACAGCAAACTGCTCCACCACCTGCTTTAATGGAGGGACCTGTTTCTACCCTGGAAAATGCATTTGCCCACCTGGACTGGAGGGAGAGCAGTGCGAAATAAGTGAGTCTTGACTCTCTGCATTCGGAAGTCTTAGAAATGTCATCTAACCCAGGGATTTGGGCTGGGCTGCCCAGCGGGCAAGAGCGTGAAGCTTCCTCCGTGTTTGCAGCCGCTCCCCAGCACTCGCATGATCTCCTGAGCTCTGCCTCCTGTTAGATCCCGTTAGGTTAGCTTCTCACAGGAGCCCGAACCCTATTGTGAACTGAGCATGCAAGGGATCTAGGTTGCGGCTTTTTTTTCCCCCTTTTAATTTTTACTTAAAATTGTGGGGTACAATTCAGGGCTAGGTATACAAATATTCA